ACGACGACGACGACGACGATGACGACGACGACCAGGACGATGCACAGCACCTCGACGACGACGAGTCCGACCTCAGCTCCAGCCCTTCCATCCCAGACGAAAACATCGACTTTGACCTCGTCTACGCCCTCCACAACTTTGTCGCCACCGTCGAGGGACAGGCCACCGTACACAAGGGCAACAGCCTCACCCTCCTCGACGACAGCAACTCCTACTGGTGGCTCGTCCGCGTCCTTCGCACGCAGGAGGTCGGCTACATCCCCGCAGAAAACATCGAAACCCCCTTCGAGCGCCTCGCTCGCCTCAACAAGCATCGCAACGTAGACCTCACCTCCGCCACCGACGACGACCACATCCAGGTGCCCGAGCGAATCTTCACCAGCCACCTCGTAAAGGCACGCAACGCCTCCGGCACCGCAGGCGTCTCCCACCACTCCGGAAAACTCTCCGCCCTTTCCCGTCGCGCTCAGGGCGCGCCCGCTCCACTCACCAAGGAGCAGCGTCGCAACAAGCGCGGCGTCGTCTTTGGCCCCTCCACCTACCTCGAACACAGCGGCGACGAGTACTCGGACTACGACCAAGACGATCCAGACGAGGAGCGTCTCGAGTACGAGGAGGACCCCGACGCCGTCTATGAAGACGAGCAGGACGACGACCTTGACGACGACCAGCAAGACGCAGACCAACACCGCACACACCAACTCGGCTTCAACAAGATGGAACCCGACGACGGCATGGACTGGGACGGTCACGAGGCAGAACGCGTACAGCAGCAGCACCAGGACGCCATGCGCGCCGCCGCCTCCGCACAATCTGCCACCGACGCCAGCTCATCTCACTCGGATCAACAGGCGCGCTCGGCGCAGCCCTCCTCTGCGCATCCCTACTCCCAACAGTACCAGGCCAATCCCGCCGGCCCGTCGCACACTCAGCGTCTCAGCCAGTCGCAAGACCAGCAGCAGCAGCTCGCTCAGGCATCAAGGCAGCAACAGTATGCCACACAGCAGCAGCAGCAGCAGCAGCAGCA